ATGCTTGGGAGGGTGGAGGGACAGTGCAGGAGAGGAAGGCCCTCTATGAGGTGGATTGATTCAGTGACTGGGGTAATCGGGATGGGAGTGTCAGAGATGGTGTGATTGGCACAGGACAGAGCAGAGTTTAGGGCTGTTGTACATAGGGTCGCTATGACCGCACATAACAACAACCTTCTTCCACCCATGCTTCTAAGTCTTTGACAGTTTCTGAAGTGAGGTACTCTTGAGATCTTCGATAAGGGGATTAGCCAAGGTGATAAAAAGATAGTGACTGGGTAGGATGATAAGCCTCCAAGGCTTCATCCAGCTTCTGAGGATGGCCCCAGTGATCCCCCCCTCCTGGCCTTCACAGCCTTGTATCGGCTCTTCTTGTGGTGAGTAGGGCTGACCTGCATCACCGGGACACTGCTGAGGAAAGAATAGCATTGGACTTCGGAGGCTCATTCATAAAAGATACGTGGCTCTCATTTTCTTCTGCCAGATCCTTCCTTTTGGAGAAGCCAGCTTCCAGGTGAGGGAGACCCTCAAGCAGCCCTGTGGAGGGGACTCTCTGAGAGGAAATGAGGCCTCCTGCAGCCACCAGCTGCGTGGCTGAGCCATCTTGGAAGGAGGTCCTGCCAACTGCATCACTCCCCCAGATAACGGCAGACCCAGTCCTCACCTGGACTTGAACTGCACGAGGAGCCCTGAGCCAAAAACGCTCAGCTGAGCTGCTCCTGCATTTCAGACTTAAAAACTGTGAGATAATAAATGTTTATTGTTTAAAGCCAATTTGATTGCTGGTAATTTGCTGCCCATCTGTAGATAATGAACTAACATAGTCTCCTTGTCAAGGGAATTAGAGAAAGAGGATTGAAGAGTTGGTTGAACCTTAAGAGCCCTTGTCTTCTTGAGACGTAGATGAGGCCTTTGTTTGCAAGCAGTAAAGCTAATTCTAACATCAAAGGTTTATTGGAGACTGTGTAGGAGCCAGAGAATCTAGAAAAAATAAAGAACTCTGGCTGTTTGGGCCACGAGGGCTAATGGCTGGTTTTGTCAGAGTTCTTCCGTGGGAACGACTTCGTGTGGTCTGTTTCTCAGTTTCCGCAAATTGTGGGTGATTCAACTAAAGATTCTAATATGAAGGGGAGAGTGAGTGGGTAACTGAGGTCATAATGTCATTCCTTAGCCAAGGACAGGTAGTGGAGGAAGAGGACAGCTTGCCATCAGAGAATGTGAGTGTATTAACAGAGTGCTGGAGGTTAATGCTGACCAGTGTTGCTGCCTCTTCCTCAGTTTGTGAGTATCGAAAGCAGCAGAATGCCTCTTGGACTGGGGATTTTGCTCAGGACTACAGGTGTGTAGGAAGAGACCCCACACATGTTAAACAATCTCAGGTTCATCCCCCATTGTCATGTCTTGAGGGCTGAGTAGAAGTTTTTCTCAGAGATGAGGTTGGTTTTGGTTTGTTGTTTTTTTTTAAATTCCATTATCTTTCTGTGTGTGTACTGTCAAATCAGATCTGACTGGTACAGGAGGAGACTGTCCCTCCTTTTCCAACAGAGCATCTGGTGGGTTTGAACTGTGCACCTCTCAGATTGCAGTGCAGCTTCTTGCTACTAGGCCATCAGAGCTCCTAGAGATGAGGTTTTGTAGAGTATTTCGAGCAGAGGGGTAAAAAGAAAACGTCAGAGGGAGCTCTGGTGGCCTAGTACTATACTCCCAGAAGTATGTGGTTCAAATTCACCAGATTCTCTGCTGGAGAAGGAGGGACAATCTCCTCCTACACTCATCAGATCCAATTTGGCGGTACACACACAAAAACAATAAAAATCTTAAAAAAATTTAAAAAAAAACAACCCAACCCAACCCATACGTCAGAACACTGGGCCTGACTGGTGCCAAGGTCAAGCTGGAAACTAATAGACATGGCTGGGAAACCAGGCAGATACTAAATCCAAGTGACCATTTGTCAGGTTAAGAGTCTCAGTGCATTGCTGTGTGATGCAAATAACAAAATCCACGTTCAGACTTGCCTCGATGAGATTTATGATCCCACACAACAGGAAGTTCAGGGAAAGGGCAGGCCCCGGAGTTGGTGAAATACATGCTCACTGACGTCAGCAAAGACCTGGGGTCTCCATCTCCCAACACGGGGTGAGGGGGAGAGGGGCTCCATCCTGTGACACAACCTGGGGTTGATTCTCACCATGAACTGATGAAGACCTTGATTACTTCACATCGGGCAAGAGGGAATGGCTTTTGGTGGGTCCTTCATAAAGAACAGCAAGGAAACTTCTCTCCCAAGTTCCCCCCCTCAGCCGAACTCCTCCCTCAGAATCCAGCCCTATGGTTCAGTAGACCAGTCAACCCAGGTTCCCCTTCTCTGGGCCGAAGGCAGGGTCGGTTTTGCTCCCAAGTTCTCACCTGGATCGGGAGTAGTGTGTATCTCAACAGAGTGAGAGGTTTGCTCAGCGAAGACAGGAAGATGGGATGGAAGGTTGTGCAACCGTGGAAAACTTTTAAGCAGGAAGGTGACCTCAGATCGATGATTTGGTGAAAATCGCTCATCCTGGCAACTATGCTGAAGAAAGAGATGTGCTAACCAGAGAGACCTGAAGCAGGGAGCCTTGGTGGTGGGAAATAAATCCCTGAGACGACTTTGGTTCTGATGAAGCCATGTTTCCCACCTCTGCCTATAAGGACCCAGCAGAGCAGAGCCTGCCTCCTGTCCCATCACTCATTCCTGTCTGCTCACATTCTCTTGTTCTCTCACCTCCATTCATGTTAGTTATCTTTGAACCTGTGGACCTGTCATGTCCCTTCCCACCTTCATATTCCCTGTTTCTGGAATACTCTTGTCTGCTCACCACCTCCTTCCTCTCTCTGCCTACTCACTACTTCCTTGTGTCTTTAGATCTCTCTCAGGGAAACCTCTGTCTTCCCCCCAACCCCAAGGCCTCATCCTTCAATGTTATCTGTTGTCTTGAACTTGCACGTAGTTGTAACTAATTATGTAAATAACTGTGAGTAATTAGTGCTGCAATTATTTGTTAATGCCAAATTATAAGATCTGTGGAAACAGACAAAGAACACCGAAATAAGAATGACAAAAGCTTCTTGACAGAGACTCAAAGTAGAAAAGAGGGAAGGCTTCAGTATCCGGATCAGATGGAGATGGTTGGCAGGGAGAAGCTGGAGGTGAAATGGGACATCTTATGCAAATGTTGTTATTTGCTCTCAAGTGGGACTCCAGTAGGTTTTGGAAAGCTATAAATTACTCGGAGATTGCTCATCTTTTCCCCTCAGAGCAGCTGGTGGGTTCAAACCATCTGGTTTTGAGTGGCCCACTAGGCCATTAGAGCTCCCTGTCAAATTGATGATTGTTGTTGTGTACTGTCAAGTTAGAACCGACTCATAGCTGCCCCTCTGGTGGATTTACAGAGCAGATAAGTCGCATGGGAGGAACAGCTGCCGTGGAACAGCTGGTGGATGCTGGATTTGAACCAAGTGCATTTGGATTGGCAATGCAACTCCTTACCACTAAGCCACCAGAACTCCCGCACCATTGATCAGAGAAACCTAGTTGATTTAGTTCCAAGTTGGAAGCAGGGACTTAGTGGTAAGAGTTGCTCAAAGGCACATAGTTCAAATCCACTTGTGCGTCCACAGGAGATAGATGAGCGATCCTGTCTTGTGTGATTAAACAGCCTCTGAAAAGGTTAGCTATGACTCTGTTCTCACTCAGCTGTAAACAACAACAACAGTTGACTTTCTCTGATTGAGTCTGAATTAGAAGCAAGGACCAGTATTAGGGAAGCTGTCAGCTTTTGACCAGGTGTTGAACATCTGGGGCCAATTGTTGATGGGCTTCTGACTTCATGGGCTCAGTCCTCCTGGGCTGGAGGAGGTTTTTGCCTATGATCTGTCCATTGTCCATATATGTCCATTTGGTCTCTCTATCCATTAATCTGGGCACCTCATCTGTCTTGTGCCGCACTGCATGCTTGCTTGGTCCTGAGAAATGTGTCCATTCACATAGCAGGTGCTCGGCAAGTGTTGGGCTAATGACCAGACACATATCCAATCAGCTTGGATGGTCAGGGGCTCAGTCAAGTGGCTCCACTGTGGCATGTTAAGTTGCTATGTATGGTGAGGATACTCATTTGCTTGTACAGGAACTTCACATCATTGGTGGTTACTGTTCACAGCAGTTAGGGAACTATGGTGGCTTCACATTAAGGAGTTCAGCTGTCAACCTAAAGGCATGCAGTTTAAATTCACCAGCTCCTCTGTGGGAGGATGGCCAATCTCCTGTGCACTTAACTGCCTCTGAAAACCCCCTGGAGCGTCAGCTAGGGGTTGGTTATGACTCAATGGTACACAACAACAATTCACAGTAGTTAGGGAACACTGGTGGCATCATCTGTAGGAGGGATAGTGGGTTTGTTAAGTTTGGTGGTATACTGGTTAAAGGGCTTGCTTGCTAACTTAAATGTTGATAGTTCACACCTACCAGTTATTCAAATCCACTAGCTGCTCTGCCAGATAAAGATGTGGCAATCTGTTGTTGAAAGAGGTGGTAATTCATTGGAATTGACTCAAGTGCCCTTCAGTCAGTTCCAACTAATGGTTTCCCTGTGTACAAGAGAAGAAAAACATTGTCCTGTCCCATCCTTACAATCCGAGCTATACTTGAGTCCCCTGTTAGAGCTACTGTGTCAGTCCATCTAACTGAGGGTCATCTTCTTCTGACCCTTCAGCAAGATTTTACTGGCATGTGTTATTAAGGATATTGTTCAATGATTTCTGTACTCTGTTGTTGTTAGATGCCATTGAGTTGAGTATAATTTATAATGACCCCATGAATGATAGCTCTGAACCCTGTCCTATCCTGTGCCATCTCTGACACACTTGAGCCCACTGCTGCAGTCATGTATCAATCCATCTCATTGAGGGTCCTCCCCTCTTTTGCTGATTCTCCACTTTTCCAATCATGATGCCCCTTTCTAAGGATTAGCCAGCCCCTCCTAACAACATGCCCAAAGAATGTGAGACAAAGCATCATCCTTGCTTCCAAGGAGCACTCTGGTTGCACTTTTTCCAATATAGACTTATTTGTTCTTTTGACAGTCCTTGGGATATTCAGCACTCTTCTCCAAAACTACAGCTCAAAGGCATCAATTCTGTCATTCTGTTTCATTGTGCAGGTCTCAGATGAAAAGCAAGTGATTGAAGAGCATGACCTGAATTAGACACATCTTAATCTTTAAACTGATATCATTGTTCCTTAGTATTTTGGAGAGGTCATTGACAGCAGACTTTCTTAATGGAACATGTCTTAATTTTTTGACTGCTGATACCAAGGGTGTTGATTATTTAGAATGAGCACAAATATGAATCTCTCGCAGTTAGTTGGCAATGTAACTTAACTGTCTTGCAAACTTTGGAACACAGATGAGTGAAGGCTTCCTGCGTTACATTCATTCACAGAAACATTTCTCTTGCTATTTCACCACTTCCTGGAGCTTTGTTTTTCACCAGCTCCTTCAGTGCAGCGTGGCTTTCTTCTTTCAGTACCTTTGTATTTTTATAACATACTAATTCTTTAAATAATTCATTGTTGACCAATTATTTTGGTGCACTAATTCTGTATTATTTCTTTTACTTCTTCCTGCATTATTCAAGGGAGCGCTAGTCTGTAGGGAGTTGTGCTGCCAACCCAAAGGGAATGTCTCTCAGGTAGTTTGGACAATCTCCTGTGCAATTTTTGCCTTTGGAAACACAGTGGAGCCATAGGTAACAATGCACTGTGCAGTATCTGGCCACAGGATCCTTTACTAGTGTTAACTTGACTGTTAGGGTTTTTTCCCCCTATCCCTGTCACCTTGAGAAATGCCCAGCGTGTTTCTTCCCTTTTCATTTTGTCTTTGCACCTCTCATTATATTTTACTTTATTTTCTTAATCTCATTATTTCAGACATACTCAAGACCTTTGCAGTAGTCACCACATAAATCCACCCGGTTGAGCGTCTCCCTTTCTAATAATAATGATGATGAAGATGGCACAGGAGAGGATAGGGTTCAGATGTGTTGTTCATAGGATCCCTAAGAGTTGTACTTGAAGAAGCCTAACAATTTTTTTTTTTTAATTTCCATTCATTCATTGTTGCACTTTTCTCCCTGCCCACCACTCCTCCCCTCAGTTCGCTCTTCTCTTTGAAAAATAAAATTCGTTCACTGTTATACAATCCCTCCCCCCAAGTCCACTCGTTCTGGACTCCTGTCGTGACAGTAATACCTAATCACATATCCCTTTTAAACAGTTCTCTCCCTCATCTGTTTCAATGAAGTTTACATCATTTATCCCGTCTTTCTTAGTCTCCCCCCCAACCCTGCTGTCATTCCCGTTTTACAACAGTGGCCAATCTACAGGCAAAGAATACAGCCTTGGAAACCCCTATTAGCCAGTTCTGCTTTGAACTGTTCGTTGTTGTTATGTGCCGTCGAGTTCCTTGTGACTCATAGTGACAACAGCCCTAAATCTGCTCTGTCCTGTGCCAGTCGCACCGTCTCTGACACACCCATCCCGACTACCCCAGTCACTGAATCAATCCATCTCATAGGGTGCCTTCCCCTCCTGCGCTGTCCCTCCACCCTCCCAAGCATGATGTCCCTCTGCAAGGACCGGTCCCTCCTTACAACATGCCCAAAGTATGTTAGACGGAGCCTCAGAATCCTTGCCTCCAAGGAGCAGCCCGGTTTGACCAGTTTTACAGGATGAATCTGTTTGTTTTCCTAGCAGTCCATGGTACCCTCGATACTCTTCTCCAGCACCACAGCTCAAAGGCATCAATTCTCCTTCTAGCCTCCTTAGTCATTGTCCAACTCTTTGATGCATAACAAGTGATTTCAAAGACCATGGCCTGTATCAGGCGCACCTTAGTCTCCTGAGAGACACCATTGCTCTTCAGTACTTTGGAGAGGTCCCCAACAGCAGCCTTTCCCATCGCAATTCGCGTTTTAATTTCCTGGCTGCTGGTGCCAAGACCTCAAATTTAACCAATCGCTAAGAGGCAGCGAGAACGAGCGCGGGGCGCGCGCCTGGGTGTCGAGCACGCGCCTCTCGCCGAGCCCTGCCCTCCCCTCCGGACAACGCGCCCGCTGGGCTTGCGCGGAGGCCGAGCATGCGCTCTCCCCCCCCTTACCCGCCCCAGCACGGGCGCGCCGGGCCTGCTCGGAGGCCGAGCCGGTCACGTGCAGCGCGCGCCTGCCGCGTCGGCATCCAGGAGCTCGCCGGGCGGCTGCGGCGCGACAGCTGAAAGCGGCCGGAGCGGCTGTGGCCACAGCAGCAGGGCCGGGTCGATGGCGGCAACTGCGGTGGCAGCGGGGTCCGGGCCGGCGGAGGGGACCGAGTTTGCCGGGGGGTCCCCCGGCCCGGCGGCGGCCCTGGAGCTGTGGCTTAGTGAGTAGCCGGGGCCGCCCCCCCTGAAGGGCGCACTTCCTGCCTCGCCAGCCTTTCCTGGGGGGCCGACGGGCGGGCAGCCTGAGGGTGGGCCGGGTGGTCGGACTCGGTGGTCGGACCAGGCCTGGGCCTCGGCGCCTGTGGGAGGGTCGCTGAGGTCCCCGAGACTTAGATCCACGACCCCTTGGCTCTGCAGACGCGGGGCCGGTCCCCTCCCCCTTCTGAGCAGCAGAAGATTCTCATTGTTAACAGCCCGAATGGCTAACGTTTATTGCGCTATTCCGTCTTGCCCAGAAACTGGGCTGAAAACCTTTCAGCCATTTACTAAATCCTCTTTAGGACCCTGGGATCCAGCTGCTTTATCCCAGCTTGAGGGAGGAGGCTCGGTCCTTGCAAGATCCCGCAGCCTCTTGTAATCCTTGCAGCTGAAAAAAAGATCTTTAAATGCCTGCTAGGTTCTGTAGATGTTTCGTCGGGGCCAGATTCCTTATGTCTGTTGTCGCTTGTCAACTGCAGGACGGTCCAGGGGTAAAGACTATTGCTGTTGAGATCTGGAGGGTCAGCTGGGAGAGCAGAGAGTATGCCCCGCGCCTTGCCTTCGGGGTGTTGGGGATTGTTGTGGGCGGGAGAGAGATCAAACAATCTGCCCCCACACCGATGGAGGGGTCGCTAAGAGTCCAGTGGACTTACATGGCAGTGGGGTTTACTGCTTGTTAGTGGTGTGTTGGGCCCTGTCCTGGGTGTGTGGGGTGGCATAGGATTCTTGATCAAAGACATTTTTTTTTTGTAAGAATGGAGGATGGAGTACGTTTTCGCCTCTGGTGTTGGAGTTGGTCTTCCTACCTGGAGGAAGTCACAGCATTGAAGATTTAGCATTGGTGTGAACAAAGGAAGCCGGAGCATTGCAGGCCCAGGACAACAACATGGCAAAGAGCTTGAGGGGAGAAATGAATTGCAAGAAAATGAAAAATCTGAAACAAACAAAAGAGCTTGAGGGGTACAAAAGAGTGCAGAGCATTGTTCTGGTGCTGGAAATGCAGAGTCTGAAGTGCAGGTTGACCCGAGGCTGCACAGCTGGTTGGGGCAAGAGCAGCAAGGCCTTGAGAACTGCAGAAAGCAATTGTGATTTTATCCCATGAGCGGAGGTGGCTGGGGGATTTCCTGCAACAGAGTCTGTAATTAAGAGTATGGGGGATTTCCATCACCCTCAGCCCCTCCATAGGAGCTGAACTGGTTAGGGATGGTGAAACGTAATAGGAAGAAGCCTGTCTTGGTAGAGTTGTAGTGGCTGAAGTAGAACAAGAACAGTAGGGATGGAGCATAGACAATTCTCACCAGAAGAAAAATGTAGGGTGGACTCTAACTTCCAGGCTCAGGTAACCGTGAAGCAAAAAGCCAAACTTAATGCCATGGGGTCAGAACCTCCTCATAGTTGACCATCCAGCAGGTTTTCAGGGGCATATATGGCACAGGAGGAGATTGTCCATCTTCCTCCTGCAGAGTCATTGGTGGATTTGAACCACTGGAGAGGTGCCACTTTTGGGTTCACAGTGCATCTGTCTGAGGACTAGTCCAACAGCTGCCTGTGAGGTGGAGCTTCTTTAAGAAAGATGGAGTAGTTACTCAGTTTGAGATTTGGTCAAAATGGGATACTTTCTTAATCTAACCACCAAAGTCATCTCATAGCTAAATAATATGTTGGCTCGGTGAGAATGAATATGAGTTATAAATACTTTGATCTTTTAAAAAATCTCCTACATAATGGTCAGCAGTTACTTTAAAACAAGAATATAAGGGGGCAGGGAAATTAGATTAATGGAAATAGAGCAACCAGAATGGAAATAGTGAGTCATGAGTCATCATGATGGACCTAACCTGTGTCACTAACCTATGTGTAAAAATTGTTAAATGGGGACCTGAACTATTGTGTAAACCTTTACCTGAACTATTGTGTAAACCTTTAAAATATTGAAAAGGAAAAACTGGTCTGGGCAATTGGTTAGCTAACTACAGACAGGATCAGAGCTCATGATAAAGTGTGGGAGTTGGGAGCTCATTGACAGAGTTCTTGTCTAAGGAAGTTTGTGTGTATTAAGAAAGGCAGAGATTAGAAGATGGGGCATGAGAACCCCAACATTTGAGGGGCAGATGGAGGAGCAGCCTTATATGAGGGTGGAGAGCTGAGGGCAGGAAGAGGCATCAATAGCAAAGGTAGTACTGGTTCTTGAAATGGTGTAGGATGAGGAAGGAGAAGGAATGCCCACCTTAGGCAACTGAGATATCATTAATTTAGTCCTGGGGATAGAAAAGAGTTGATTTAGAAGATTGTAATTAGGGAGCTCTGGGGCTTAGTGGTAGGGTGTTGCGTTGCCAAGCCAAACATATGTGCAGCTCAAGTCTACCAGCTGCTCTGTAGGAGAAAAATGGGCAGTCTCTGCCTGTGTAATTTACTGTCTCTGAAAAACTACTGAAGGGTGTGCTATGAGTTAGTTCCGGCTCCACGGTACATAACAACAGTTACATCCTGGAGAACTGTAAGTTTGGAATTGAATTACCAACAAAGTAAATGAAGTATCAAAGTAGGGGGGGAATGTGGAACAAAACTTACAAACGCAAAAACGATTACTGGTAGAACGTCCAAGAGGATGGCTCTTATTAACTCTCTGCGCTTGGAACTGAACTCAGCTCTGTGCTTCAACTTTGAGCCAAAAATAAACATGCTTATAAGGTGAGCAGTAATGCCAGGGATTACTCCTTAACTCAGAGAATCTTACAAGACCAAAAGAGCAGTATTTGCATAGGGAAAAATCTCAAAAGGAATTGGCAGCACAGGAAAGAAATGTGAAGATTTCTGCTATAATTTGGAGACTGTAATCAGTGTCGCAAAACAAAATCTCTGTGAATGGAAAATTGACTGTGCTATAAACTTCCACTCAAATCACAAAAGAGAGGAAAGTGAAGAATTGGGCCTCTGGCTCAGGTGGCAGACCTGTGCCTGCCTCCGCAGAGAGCGTACGTGCCTTGCTCACAGATGCTGATTGGACTTGGACTCTTTGGGAATGATGTGGTCAAACCCAAAGTTGTTAGATCCTGCAGGTTTTTAGGGACCCTGAAATGCTGCATTTCTACGTGAAATCTTCTGTACTCTTTTCAAGTCATCAGATACTTTGAAATGTAAAATTTGGCTGGTGCAAGTCGGAGGAGGGAATTCATCTGTTGGATGTGGCCACTGGCCTCTAGCTTTCATTTTCTGGAAAGCAGGAGAGAGGGTTGTTGGAAGCAATTGCAGAGTCAGGGAAATGTTAAAGGGAGTAGGTAGAGCTGGGAGCCTTTTGGATGAAGGGCAGGGACACCTACCTCAAAAGGGGCTCAGGGCTACTGAGGAACTTCGAGCCAGAGCAGAGAGGGCAGGCGTGGGCTCCCAAAGAGGAAGGAGCCCTTTTCTTTCTGGGGTTTGGGGAAGGAGACAGAGATGATTGCACAGACAAGTCTGTCAGCGTGGGGGTGG